AGGTGGACATGGAGATAGAATGGAGACAAGTAGACATGGAGATAGAGGTGGACATAGAGATAGAATGGAGACAAGTAGACATGGAGAAACAGGTAGACACGGAGACAAGTAGACATGCAGATAGAGGTGGACATGGAGATAGAATGGAGATAAGTAGACATGGAGATAGAGGTGGACATGGAGACAGAGATAGACATGGAGATAGAGATAAACTGAATATGGAGATAGAGGTGGTCATGGAGACAGAGACAGATGTGGAGACAGAGGAAAGAGGGAAGATAAGAGGAGAGGGAAAGGGAAGGATGGAAGACAAAGAGGGAAGGATGAAGGAAAAGGACAGAGGAGGAAAGGAACGTGTAATTCTTGTAGCACCTAAGGTTGGATATCTACCATATTCCAGATGAAACCAAGGCTCTATGAATTAATATTTAAAAGCAATCCTCACCAAATGTTTCTTAAATAATGGAGTCAGATTTTAGTTGCAGTAACTAACTGCTCCATCACCATCTTTACTTACTCACTTGGCAGTTCCTTAATGGCTACAACATACAGGACTTTGTTTCAGACAACAGATGTTCACTAATTAGCAAGGCGGGGTCTGCAGCTTCTTAGTGCTTATAAGCTAGTGAAAAAAGGAAAAAATGGAAATGTCAGATGTTTACTTAATAAAACTTCTCAAGGTATAAGTGGGTATCTATAATGAGGGACAGATGACATTTCAAAGCAGTGTTTTAGTGAGTACAGAGGCAGGAAAGCCTCTAGAACAGAAGGTCAGGTCTTTTATCATCTCAATAACTGACCACAGGTGCATCATAAGAGGAGGGATCTTGTGTGGGTATCTGGTCACATTCATATGTTTCTCATCCACCACCTTTGCTTTTCAGGTTGTGTACAGAGGATGGGGCTTTTCTGATTTGAATGCCATCTGATTCCATTGCTGAAATCTCCTCTGGCTGTAAACAGAAAGGAAGTAGACATCTATGTCAGATCAAACGTTGCCTAAGAATGCTTCCCAAAGTGGCACAGCCTGGTATCCCAGGTCATTTCCTCTGCAGCACATGTCTCTATTATGAAAACTAGTGCTTTTCACCCTTAAATGTCCTAGGTGTTCATCTGTGACTCCGTGATGGCACAGTCTCTAAACCACCTCTCTTAGGGTAGGGATATTCCCCTCTTTTCTCGAGGAGAGTGAATAGTGACTGACACAGCATGTGGTCTTTAAAAGACACTCATCACACTGCCTTATATTGTCACTCTTATATTATTTACACATCACAACTAAGAAAATAGAGATAGAAAGAGAAAGCATGGGTATCCCTCTGGAACATCTCTGTGCCAACAAGTATGTCCACTTCTCTCAGTTCCAGCCCTCCAGTATCCCTGCTATCCCAATGCTATCATTTCACCTTACCTCCTCCCCTAGCTTGTGCCTCCTCTCTCCTTCTCAAGACTGAAGGGAAAGAAATGAAAAACCATTCTTGAGTGCCTTCTTTGTGGAATGAAGTGTTCAGCATTCTTCTGTCACTTTCATGAAGGCAACAGTACATAATGGCATTCATGCCCCCGTCACAAATCAGAGACGCCTTGCTGTAACAGTGAGAGCAAACAGGACTGGACGGCTGACACCTGCAGATTTCAAAGTAAACAAGGCCTAACTTTTTCCACTTTTATTGTTATCCTGTACCAGTCTCATTTGTAAGGACACAATCAGGAGAGAGTATTTGGCATCCAGAAAGAGCATGCTGGTATATGTCTCTATACAAGAGAGTTTCAGGAAAACTTTGAAATGTATTGTCCAGTTCCCTCAAAAAGAGGTCTTCAAAGAAGAAATTCACTCCTCTCCAGAACACTCTCCTGTGATATCTCAACATGGTCTCACTCTTTACCTACAGCTGTGGACTAAACACCCTAGAGCAGGGGCTTTCTACAGCTTACAGTGTTGTTGCAACAGAGATACAGAGCAACCAAGAATGCTTCCCAAGCTTTACTTTTTTTTTAATTAAGAAAAAAATTTTATTCATTTTACACACCAATTAAAGATCTCCCTCTTCCCTCCTCCTCCAACCTCCCCCTCCCAACCCACCTCCCCCATTCCCTCCTACAAGAAAGTAAGGCCTCCCATGGGGAGGTCTACGCTTAGTAGAAGCAGGTCGAAGTTCCTACCCCTGCCCCAAGGCTGTGCAAATTGTCCCATCACAGATATTGGGATCCAAAAAGCCTGCTCATGCACCAGGGATGGATTCTGATGCTACTGCAAGGGGGCCCCTTAAGCAGATCACAGGTTTTACTTTCAAAGAAACAATTATATTTGAAGCAACGTTATTTCATTGATATATTAAACAAATTTTAAGACTAATCACAATATCTTTTAAAAGGTTTATAGTAAAAATTTTGTAGTTTGTTAAGATAACTAAGGTATTACATGGCTACAGCTTATGCATCTATTTAGCTTGTGCATATCGGTATGAAAATGAAAAGCAAGCTCCTTTTCATTTCTGACCTAGCAATCTAAAATTGTACTTACCTATAGCACTTTGCCCTCTAGTAAACAATGGAAATTTTCAACTCAAATAATCATTCTCTGGGGTGCACCTTCTCCTCTGTTGCCCTCTACAGTTGTACATAGGATAGCTGGATGAATCACTGCTGAACTTGACTGGGTTGTTTCATCTTTGGCGGGATCTGTGGCTCAGAAGTGAATTGTGGACATTCCTCGGGAGCTAGCCTTTACTTTTTCACAGTAAACCTTCATTCTGACATAGTCCGCCGGGATAATACTGAGACATTACATTGGTATGTGTAATACACATTGACATTCAGAGCGACTACATCGTTCTTTTATTGAATAATATTTCTCTGGTTGAGAGGAACTGAATTGTTCATGGATCAGAGGAGGCTAATTGAAATAAGTTCATTTTTCCATCTAGCATTTGAGGACATGTGTCAAGGATGTGGAAGGGACATGTCAGTGCTCTGCATGTTGGTAATACCTCACTCAAGAACAGATAATGACCTCTTTTATTTTATTTTCAGAGATAAGTGAGACATAAAGGTTTTTTCCAAGATTAATTCTGAACTTATGACTTCACACTTTTCTGATTTACACATATATGACTGTGTTACTCACTTTTCTATTGCTATGAAAAGATACCATAACCAAGGCAACCTTTATAAAATAAATCATTTAATTGGGGGCTTGCTTACATTTTCAGAGGTGAGTCCTTTATCATCATGGTGGGGAGCATGGAAGCAAGCAGGCAGGTGCTGGAGAAGTAGCTAAGAACTATATCCTGATCCACAGGCAGCAGGGAGAGAGAGAGAAAGACTGCATCTAGCATAGGCTTTTGACACCTCAAAACCCACCCCCATGACACCCTTCCTCCAACAAGGCCACACCTCCTAATCCTTCTAATCCCTTCAAACAGTTCCACTCCTTGTGACAAAGCGTTCAAACATATAAAGCTATGGAAGCCATTCTTAGTCAAATCACCACATACCCGTCCAAAGAAAAATAATCATCAAGATGTTTCGTCTTCTATTTCTGACACATATCCAAGGTCAAAGCAAAAACAAAAGACCCAAGTTTTCATCCATAGAAGTCCCAGTGAGGAATCTTCTGATAAGATATTTAACATAACACTAAACAGAAACTTACTCCTGGAAGGTTGCTGTGAACTATCACCATTAAAAACCAGGACTTCAACACTTTCCCATTCAGTTTCAACTTGTCACAATTCATCCTCTAATACTCTTTCTCTTCAACCTTAATTTTACCCTCACCTTACTTTTCAGAATTGGCCTTAGTACCATCTTCCCAGATTTAGCCTTTCTTACCCTGATACATGGATTTTATTTTCATTTTACTCTGGTAGATTTTTCCTGCTGTCTTGATTACACAAACCTTCCACTCATAAGGTCCAAATGTTCTTTCTTGTAAGACCACTCTTTTGACTGTGATCCCAGCTCCTTGGGTGACTGACACAAGAGGATCACAAGCCCAAGTCCCTCCTGGGCTATATACCAAGTTCAAGGCTAGCCTGGGTGAGTTAGGTAGACCCTTTCTCAAACTAAAAGTTCAAAAGGGCTGATGACACCACTCAGTAGTAGAGCAGTTGTCTAGCATGCTCAAGGCCCTTGGTTAAATCTTCAGAAAACACAAGCTTAGAAATATACACACTCAAATGATCATCTTTTTGGGTTGTAGTACAATTTAGTCATGTCTGTGATACTAGCAAATTTCTTTAAAGAAGAGGAAGATAGAGATTTGGGGGGCAGATGAGGTGAAGCATTCACATTTTATACATGGTACACACACATGCAGAAAAAAACACTACACATAAAATAAATAGACAATTATACATATTTTTAAAGGGGGGATGGAGAAAGAAATACCAAGAAAAAATGTAGAGAGCCAGTGAGATGGCTCAGTGGGTAGACACTGTGTACATCAGGGAATCCCAGGTGGAGGCCGAAGGAGAGAGCAGACTCCACAAAGTTGTCTTTGGACCTCTATGTGTGCAATGTGGCATGTGCATGCCCTCACACACATCATACATACATACACAATGGAAATAATTTACATATATGTGTTCTGAGCAGCCAAAGCAGCAGACGGGGGGTGGGGTGGGGGCTAGTTAAACAATCACAGGTAGCAGTGGGACTGCACTGTTTCCTGGAAATCACCACAGCAAAGGCAACAGCACCTCTAGGTCAGTGGGAGAAGGTTCTTATCACCTCTTCTCACTACCATGGGATGTGGGAAATTGCCAGGGTAGCTTCAGTTGTTGTACTAACCTCAATTTTCTACCCATGACTCTTTCATTCCTCAACAAAGGGCACTTCTTACCTAAAATTCACAGCAGGTGAGTCTTGAGACTTTCTTCTCAGATATCATTTTCCACCACTCCTTGTTAGGACATATTTCAGCAAAATGTTGACCTTAATTCAAATTCCAGGCGTGATCCTTACTGTGTGGTAGAGGGACATTTCTTTATCTATAAAAACAACAATAATATTATAAGATCTGTTGTGAGATAAAACTATGAGAAATACATGCGTACTACCAAAGTACTTGGCATTTCATGTAGACAACATAGATATAACATGCTTTCCCCTCAGAAACCAATCCACTGTCATGCTATGGATGCACTCTGCAGCAGACTCAGTGACACTTGGACGCCACACTTCCCCACCTGGCCATAATGGTCATTTCACCCTCAAGACAGCTGATCACTCTGAGATGTGAAAGGATCCAGAACCGAAATGCATCATAGTTTCCAGCAAACATTCTAGAAGGCTCCACTTAAATAGAGACATTTGTGCCTTTCTCATTTATTAAATCACAGAAGTACAGCTTTTATCTGCTCTGTGGCCAGGGTGGAAAGTTTGGCAGTCACATTAGAATGACTCAAGGGTGTATTTCCTGAATGTCTAACTCATCCTCCATGGGTCTAACTGATTTGAGATTAAAGCTTATTACAAAGATCTATTTTTCCCCAGAGGTAAGCCAAAGAAGGCTCTTTGTCTACACTAACCAGACCACAGTGTGGCTCCTTTGGAATCAGACTGACTGTGAGTGAGATTGCTGAAGGGAAGTTACATAAGCAAACCTTCCTATTTCCCCATTCTGACTTTGATTCAGGAAAACTGCCAATAAATAAGACAAAAGAATCAGCCTCAAGAGCACAGTCCACATGTCCTTAACTTTTCATGTCTGACAATCTCATTCGCTAGGATCTGGGATGGCATTTGTGTGGGAAGCCCGATTTTAGTCTCTTGAGTCCTGAGTCATGGAATATGAATATAATGAGGGTAGTGCACATTCCTGGGACTAGATATCCATGTGTATGTGGGCTAAATAAACATTTCACTTCAAAGAAGGAGTCGCTCACTGTCCATCATCTTTAAATTTTCTTACTCAAGATTCCATGATCTGCACTACAGACATAGTAATATCTGAGGCCTTGATAATTTTTTAAATCATACTTTGTGCATAAAATGTAACGGCATAAAAAATGACCATGGAACAGACTTCCTATACCATCACCATCTACCCTATACAACAGTTCCATGGAAATGTGATCAGCCAGCTTCCTGTTCCTGCGGCAGTGTGTGCCTTCCCCACTCTGAAGGACTCTGTCCCTCTGGGACCATCAGCCACAATAAACCCTTTCTTCCTTATATTGGTCGTAGTGCTTTATCACAGCAACAGAAAGTAACTAATACTTCCAGCATTTAGCAGATGCTCAATAAACAGGTATAAATCAGATGATTACAGTCACGGGGCTTCCACCAGTGTGTCCACACTTTGAGAATTTCTAACTAGTAAAATTTGCAACTGTTCTTTGATACTCTCCTGAAGAAAACAAATGCAGCAGCAGCTGGTTTGAACCAGCACAAGCATGTAACCTTGTTCTCAACATTAAAAGAATGCTGTGTCTTTCTTTGCTTAAAATCAATTCTGTTTTTTATAAATACATGATATTTTCTTTTCTTAAAAATATTGAGAATTTGCAAAATGAAGATTAATCCCAATTAGCCCAATTTTTCCATAAGAGCTACAAGACACAAACAAACAAACAAATCCCACAATTCACTCTGTAGACAAAGGAATCAATGCAGGAAGATTCAGAGGTAGCCCAGATGGTGTGTTTATTAAAGAAAGGTTAAAATAACTGTGAGCTACATGTCGTCAAGCAGAGGAAATGGTCAGCATGCCTGAGCAGGTGGGGAGTTTCAGAAGAGAAATGTAAAGATAAAAAAGAGTTCAATAGAAATGCTAAAGAAATAAATCACAGTAACAGAGATGAGAAGACTAGACAGGGCCAAAAGTAGAGCACTAAAGAAATACTGGAAGAGAAAAACATTGTTCCTGGAATCTCGGAGAAGCTGAGATAGAAAAGTAAAATAAGCCAGGAAAACAAAATTAATACACTTACAGCTCAGTATTCAAATAAAGAGAAGTGCGTGTGCAGAGTAGAAGGAACTGTGATTTTCAGGGACAGAGGGTAAGGGAGAGGCTCGTCAACAGTGCAGTGCTACAGAGAAGAGATATAAATTCTGGTTTCCTACTGTATGAGAAGATAAGCAAATAACTAGCACTGATAATAATACACCTCAAGAAGCTGGAAAGATTTTGAATTATGTCACCACACACAATATCTTATGCTTAATGTGATAGATGTACAAAAATATTAAACAATGTAGAGAAAATATGACATTGTATCTTATAAACAGTATTACATGCTAATCAAGAAGAAAAGGGATACAGCAGTCATCCTGGCAGAAACTTCACACGACAGAAGAAAATACAGTGACATTTTTATAGTGCTTAAAGAAAAACTGTCAGTCCTCCACATAATTAAAACACCATTCAAAAATAAGGAAATAGTGAAAGCCTTTTACCATAATAATAATTAAAAAAAAAAACTAGGAAACTTAATTAGAAGCCACTCAGAACTGCAAGAAATGTTAAAGTAAATTCTTCAAAGTAAGGAAATATGACACCAGAAAGAAAAAGTGAATTCCTGGAAATAATAAAAGAAAGTATTAACTTTTTTATTTTCTATTTTAAAGTATCATTGATACGAAAGTAAGTATAACCAATGCATTGTGGTTCATAACGCACGTACACTTAGGACACATGCCAACAGTGGCACACGGCGCACATCAGGGAAGGGGAGTGTACTGTCTTAGTTTGCTTTATTGCATGTAAACTGGGAAAATCCTACTTGAAGATAGATTTTTAATTAAACAGTGATTCTGAAGCCTGGTCTGTGTAAGATCCAGTCTTAAGTAAAGAAAGATTTAAAAAGATTGAATAAATAAGTAAGTTAAAATATAATCTGAAATGTAAGGGAGAAAAACAAAATGCAAAAAAATTAACAAGACAGTGAATATTGCTCAAATCTTAAGAACACAAGTATGGCTGAGCATGGTGGCACATGCCTTTAATCCCAGACCTTGGAAGTCAAAGGCAGAGCCAGGGGGATCTCTCTGAGTTCAAGGTCAGCCTGGTCTATATAGAGAGCTCCAAAACAGCCAGAACTACTAACCAAACACGAGCTGAACAAGGAGGACAATAGATAAGCCAAAGTAGACAGGGGAGACCCTAAGGTCTCATCCCACATAAAGAACTCAGGCAACTAAGAAGGTTGGGAGTGGATGGAAGTACAAAGAGCACACCAACTGGTTATCCAACACCAAATGGTCAGCCATGAAAACATACATACAAGTAACATTATACAGGCTGAGCAGGCTATATTTAGGAATATAAGTGCATATATATGTGGAGGCCCACAGAGGTTTCCTAGTGAGACTGAACTTGCTTTACCCAACAGGGCTGCATTAGAGGATGGCATGACCATATGTGTGTGGTTACCAGGTGACTGGAAGGGTCTACACTTGGCTCACTAGAGGGAGGTCTTCTGCTCCTTCCCTTGGCATTCCTATAAAAAATCCTTTTGAAGAGACAAAAGGGAATAGTGGATATTAATCCAGGCCCTCCTGAGGCTATCTTGTGTTTCTATCTGTTTCTCTCCCCTCTATCTTTCTATCTAAATATTTCTCACTTCTTCCCCCTCAAGAGTACCCTGGGGAAAAGTGGGAGCAGGCCTCACACAGAGAAATAGGTAGGCCTCCCACATATACATATATGCATGTAATAACAATTCATAAAAAAAGATGCCATGAATTTGAAAGAAAGCAAAATGGGGTGTATGAGAGATTTTGGATGGAGGAAAAGGAAGGGGGACACGATGTAACTATAATCTCAAAAAGAAAATAAAAACATTTATTTCCAAATACAAAGGCTCAGACTGAAAATAAAATATACTAAGAAATACAGCATGCACACACGAGTAAAAAACTAGAATTATTATATTAGTACCTGGTCTATGCAGTCCAGAATAAAGAATATTACTAGAAAAGACAAGGAGGACACCACACAGTTATGGAAGTTATGATCCTAAACATACAAGTCTCTGAGAGAAAGTTCCAAACACACAAAGCAAAGCTAGAAAAATGAAAGGAAAGGCAGACAAATCTGCACTTAGGGTTGGCAACTTCAGCACTTGTCTCTAAATAATTTATACAACAGGAAGATGGAAAAATCAGAAAGGAGATGGAACACTGAATAACAGAAAATCAACTTGACCTGATTGCCATTTATAGAATTTGCCATCCCAAAGCCACAGAGGACACAGTTCACATCCATACAGGATGTTCAGCATCATAGATCATATTTAGAAAATAAATCAAACCACATCGACACAGCCTATTTAAATCACATAAGTATGCACTTTGATCATAATAGAATTAAACTAGAAATTAATAAAACAAAGATGTCTGGAACACTCCCAAATTCTTGAAAATTAAAGCACACTATTTATAAATAAGTCACATGCCAATGAAAAATTCACAAATGAGACTAGGGGATACTTTAAATGACTAATAACAAAAAAAATCAGTAATGAATGTTTGTGGTATGTGGGTAACACAGGGCTTAGAGATCCCTGATAGCACCAAATTCACATATTCAACTCTGGAAGGGTCAACATCCAGTCATGTACACTGCTACTCAAGAAATGAGACAAAGAATATGTATAAATTGAAATCAAAGTACAGGAAGTAAAATTACAATGAGCTGAAAATAAATCTGAAATAAAAATGATACAGTAAGTATGCACATTCAAAAACTTAATGAAATTAATTCAGGATTGCCATGGTTATAATCCAAAATGCCTCCCACAGACTCATGTTTTAAGTACTTGGTTCCCAGTTCTTTGTAGAGCTATTTTGAGGACTGTGGATCCTCTAGGAGATGGAGTCATAATGGCTGAAGTAGGTCACTAGACATTGGGCCTTGAAGGTTATTCCTGCTCCTTGGTTGGGCCTGTGTGCTCTAGCCATATGAACTTCACCATGCCTTACCCATGCAACTCTCAGAAACTAGGAGTCAGAATGTAGCAGGAATCTTAAAAGTTCTTATTAATAAAAACAAACCTGAGCTAGGTATTGTGGTGAACTGGAAGATCAGAGAACCAGAACAAGCCACAGCTTCCTCACCTCGCCAGATCCTCAGCTGATTCTGTTTCCTCAGGCTTCTGAGTTTTCATCCAGAATGGGTCTCAGCTGAACTGCTGCTCAAAAGCCTGAATGCTTAACCAGGCAAATGCTTGTAGTTTCTGGTCCTCACACCTTATATACCTTTCTGCTTTCTGCCATCACTCCCTGGGATTAAAGGCTTGCTTCTTGGGATTAAAAGCGTGTGTCACCATGTTTGGCTGTATCCTTGAACAGATGGATTTCCGCCT